TAAATCTTCTTAAACAAATAACTATGAAAATAATATTCAAGAAAATACAAATGGGAAATTTAACCAATAAATTGCTTCTAATTTATCCCAACCTGATATTTAGTCTAGAAAACAAACAAAAATCAAAAAACTCTGAAGTGTTACTAAAATGCTAACTGAATCATTTTAGCATAAATCTAGCACATGCATTTCAAGGTTTCACTGCTAGGAATTTTGTTAAGATCAGTTGAATCATGAATAACAGTATATAACAGAATATAAGGAACACATACCATTACATGTGATCCTTGCCCCCTACCCTCAGATTATGTCAGAATAAAGCTGACAATTCTGCCAGGCTCTGCACCCCGAGTGCCCCCAACCCAAACCTTGGAAGCAAAGAATATGCCCTGTCATACAACTTTGTACAAGTTGTAGTAAAGCAAAGCATAAGTTGGTTGTTTTTTTTTTTTTTTACCTTTCTATAGGAAGTGGTCAGTTATTTGATAAATACTAAAACAATGCTAAGAATACACTTAATGAGTTTGTTTACCAAACACATTGTGCAAGAACTGACTACATAAAAGTTCCTTTGAAATTTGGTCCACAGATTCACCTAAGGTTGAAAATTTAAAACTTGTAAGAAAAAGAGGAAGTGGGTATCCCTAATCTTAATATACCGTAATTACTAAAGGGATATAATATGCATATTAAAAGGTTTTGCTCACAGAAGGCACAAACCATAAAAGGGATATTCTTTTTGAATAAAAACAAAGAACTAGCTGATGTCCTTCTTTGTTTTGTGAGCACCATAACTAAAATGAAGTTAAACCTGAATTCACTGTCTACTCCTGTGACCAAAAAAAAAAAGAGAACATAAAAACCTTGTCTTAACTATATGATTTCCAGCCATTAATTGAGATGTAGTTACGAAAGATTAAAATCGTCTTAAAAAGGGGTGTGATAGCAGCTATCAAAGCAATATTCAAGCATGATTTCAGGGATGCTTTCAGGTTTAGAATTATCCTTCCTTGTCAAAAATCTTCACGACTTCATCAAAAACCTATAAAGAAAAAAGATAATTTTAAAAGCAGATACCATTAAAATACCATATAGCTAAGTTCCTGTTAAAAATAGTAAATTTTATATTAATTTTCAAAATGGATCATTTTAAAAAGTCACATTATAATTTCTTAGTTTCATCTATTTTACTTTAGACAGTAATATAATACATATAAAATTATGAACATGTATTCAATTTTATTAGTGCTTTTAGGACAAAACATACTTCTTGATAGGCTACCAATAATTTGATAAAATGTAAACTGGTTTATCATCTTAGTTCAGACTCTAAAACACAAAGTTCTCTCATGTATTGCCTCACCTCTACAGGAAGTAGCACCTCTACAGGATTAAAAAAGATCCCCTGAATCTTTTTCCTCCGGCCCTTTCTTTTTGAATATGAGAGGAAGAAAATTCAGGGAGTCAGGGGAAGGGAGATAGGTGAATTAGGAGACACTAAAAATATTTTCTGGGCACTAAACTACAATTCAGAGATCACTGATTTATGAAGAAAGAGAGAAGTGATAAGTTGTAGAACCCCTGCACCTCTGAAGCTATTTGCTCTGTGATGGAAGAGAAGAAAGCAGCCTAGGCTCTTGAGCTGGATGACTTGCCATTCATGTTATAGGTTTTCAAAAAAAAGAACATCATCCAAATCACAGTTCACAAAATACCAATTTTTCTAGTACCCGGGAAGAGGTTTGAAATTAATAAACCACCCACTTCTCATGAAGACAAGTCTGAAGTTATAAAGCCCATTTTAGACTCTATTCAAAAAGGAAAAAAAATGTAATTTTTCATTTAGTCCCCAGTGTCTTGAAAAACAAACTAACTACTCTGTCATAGTATTTATTTTTCTCCTGCCTACATGCCCCAAAAGAACTAATCACATTTTTACTTGACTTTTTTTTTAAAGGCAGGTTAGGGACACTCACTTCATCAACAGATTTAGAAGCATCTATTTTCTTGACTTTTCCCATTTCTTCATATAAGTCAATAATTGGCTTTGTTGACTGAAGATAGGTCTGAATTCTGCAAAAGAAGCAAATATTGCGAAGTCCTAGGTATCCATCCTTTCTCCTACATGTTATAGGGTAGCTCAGAGGACAACACTAAATCTGACCCAACTAACTCGTCATTTCCTTACACAAGCCATTTTACACAGTTAAGTGTAACATTTTCTTTTTCAGGTCCAAAATGGAGCAGGTCTGGGATAGAGGTGGCTATGTAAAAACTGCAAAGTACCTCTTTTCCAAGCTCTCTCTGTTGTCATCACTCCTACCACTACTCTTTCCCCTCTCAAGACATCGTTCAATACAGATCTAAAAAGAGATATAAATAAAGTTATTCTAAAAGTAGAAAGATATGAATTTGCAATTCTTTTAACCTGAAAAGAAAATAAAGTTTAAAGAGATGACAAAAAAAAACCTGCATTAAACTCAATGTGTCTAATTCATTAATCAACATACACAGTTCTTTTAAATTTAAACATGTGGCTCAATTTATATAAACTAGGTTAAATAAGTACAGAGCATAAAAAGAATTCATTCATGACTCAGTTTTTCCTGTGTATTTTTTTTTCAAACCGCAATAAAAAGAAGATCTGTATGTGTACAGTTCCATCTCGGATATATTATTAACTTATTAGGTATGAATTACATGCCTCAAACTTTGTTCCATTTTTGCTTTTCTATAATTCCATAAATATCCAAATATTTAAGAGTCAACATATTTGCATTTGAATAAAGCATCCCTTGTTAATCATGAATAAACATTCCTTAGTTATAAGCTGTGGTAACATTCTAAAGTTAACTTTGAAGAATAAGTGAAAACATATTTTTGGGGGTTGGAAGAAGAGAGTTACATTTTAAAACAACTCAAAGGCTGCAGCAAGTCTCTCTACCAGAGGCACATTTACGATTCAACCTAAGAATACCAACTTCTTTCAAGGCCCTACTTCAGATTCTTAGTCTTTCAGGCTATTGGCATTAATTTAATGAAATTTATATTACAGCAGCTGTCAAACACAGGCCATTTAATTAAATGATTCCAAGAAATTCATTTACTTATTCCAATGTATGTCTGAGTTTGTTACTAAAAGTGCCAGAAAGAAAAAGAACACTTTCCTGCTTTTTTCAAGATCATTTCATTCTTAAGACAAATCAAGCTATCCTACATGTTTTTTAAAGTAGAAAATTTTCCCAACTTGCCAAAAATGTTTCTTTTCCACGAGACAACTCGTAAAGCAAGACACTCTTTCACAATAGTGCCTACCTAAGAAAGTAGTAATTCAGCTTCATTACTTAACATTATTGTGCATGTCAATTCTTATTTTTTAAAAAACAAAATTGATTCTTATTTTGAAAATAAAGCAAATTTTAGTCCAAAAGTCTGCTGATGCCAATTAGCTTCCAACAGCAAGACAGTGCTATTTTGTCCATCTCATCTACCCATTCAAAAAAAATATAGCTGCCAATATAAAATGTAAACATAAGAAAAAATCAATTTTTCTCTAATAGTTGACTAACAGTTGCTTAAAGCCTATGTGGGCAAATGAAGATTTTCATTACCTCATTATTACAGTCAAAAAAAAGAACAAAAGATACATCTGCCTTTCCATCCATGGTCTTGTTCCAACCTTGAAGGTTGTCTTGATTTCTTGGAAACCCATCAATCAAGAACTTATTCTTCTGAGCATTGACGGCCATTGTCTGATCCATTTCCTAAAGGAAAAGATTTAGGTTCAACACTACATTAACAAAATGCAATTTCTCAAGTAGGTTAGTGGATACATGGGTGTTTGTTTTATTATTATTCTTTAAACCATAAGTAAAGACTGAGGAGTGCATAGAAAAAAAAAGACTAGAAGGAAATGAACCAACGTATTAACATGGTTGCCTCAAGCTGGTGGGGTTATGGCTATGTGTCCCTCCCTACCTTCTCATTTTATACACACACACACACACACACACACAATTGTTTTCTGTAGTTTCCAAATTTTCTATAGTAAGCATGTTACTTTCACATATATATTCACAAAATTATAAATAAACAGTAAGAGTAGCAATAAGAGGAAAACAACCACTAACTAGTATCTTTGCTCCAGTAATGGAAGACCCTGTCTTGTGTTCTTTTTGCCCTTTCCAAGTCATTTTACTGTGGTAGAAAGTATATTACTTTTACAGGTGCTTAACTCTGCTATAATTCAAGTCCAACAGCACAGAACTTCGGACAAATATAAAAACATAGTTAGCTTTAATTATTAGTGTAGGAATCAATTTTTTTTGTTTGCTTTTTGAGATAAGGTCTCACTCTGTTACCTGGGCTAGAATGCAGTGGCATGATCATAGCTCACTGCAACCTCAAACTTCTGGGGCTCAAGTGATCCTCCCCCCTCAGCCTCCCAAGGAGCTGCGACTACAGGTGTGTGCCACCACGCCCGGCTAATTTTTCTATTTTTTGTAGAGATGAGGTCTTGCTCTTTCTTGCTCAGGCTGGTCTCGAACTCCTGGCCTCAAAAAATCCTCCTGCCTTGGCCTTCAATAGTGCTAGGATTACAGACATGAGCCACTGTGCTGAGCCTCAACTTTTTTTTTTTTTAACTGAAGTTAACTCAATCTAAATGCTACTGGCTACCCCAAAACACAGGGAGCAAAAGAAAAAAATACATTCAGAAAAATGGCAAGAGCAACCCATTTCACTATCCTCTTCCAAAGCCTGAAGTTAGGTAGAATGTGGGAATACGTGAATGGGAAATGCAGATCTCTGATCTCCAAATCCTTGCCACTTCTAATCACCATAGTCACAGATGCATGACTTTGACAAACCTTAGAAGAACCTCTATTTCAAAGCAAATTAACATTCACTACCATCCATGCTCAAACTTTTCTGGTTCCTCAAGAAGGACAATGGCTGTCAGGAACCGTGATTCCTTTATCTGAGAATTGGCTTCATCCCAGCACCTGGCTGCTTCTTCAATATTCACAAAACTTGTACAGAACACTTTTTGGCCTCTGCTATAAAATTTCTACCCCAATTACAGTAGTAGAAGGTATCTGAAGAAGGCATATCAATATTATACTCAGTGTATATTTAACTCAAGGCTACTATGAGGGAACATGAAGAGCAAGGTCATGGATCTTGTCCCTGGAGGGCTCACAGTCCAGTGGGTGACAAATATATATACATAGATATGTTAAGTTCTATGATAAGGTATGCAAAGGATGCTATGATAAAACAAAGTAAGCACAAACTGCCAGAGAAAGCTTTACCAAAGAGGTAACAGTGGAACTGAATCCCGAATAATAAAATGGCAGGCAGACAGGGATTAATGTCCTCTGGATGGTGGAAACTGGATGTATGAAGGCTCAGAAACGAGACAGCCTAACAGCTTTGATGAATCTGAAGCAAGCCAGTACAAGTGAAATCTTAGGATATGTGTAGAGAGTGGTGGGAGATACGACTGAAAGTTAAGCAAAGATAAAATAATGAAGAACTTTTTATGCCACACTAAGGATCTGAGTTTTATTCTGGAAGCAATACAAGACCATTTAAGAATTTTAAGCAGTTTAAGATTAACAGGGGTCATACTGTCTTTTAGAAAAAAAAAAATCACTCTGACTACACCAAGAAGGATGAATTGGAAGGGAACAAGGATGAATTAAAGGCAGAAAGACTAACTAGGAGGCTCCAGTGATGGTCCAGGTAGGAAAAAAAGAGGATAGTAAACTAAGGTGATAGAAGAGACTAATAGAAAAGAATTAAAAGAAAAAGAATTGGAAAGATCTGCTCACTGAATGGATTTGGGAAAGTAAGGAAGAGGCATACAATATTGGATGGCTCCCAATTTCTGCCTTGAGCAACTGGGTAGATGGTAGAACCATTAACCAACACAGGAAATAAAGAGAGATCACACTTGAGATAATACACTCAAACTCTGATATGTTTATTTTGAGACACCTGTGAGACAATCAGAAAGATACCTAGTAGTTAGTTAAAAATAAAAGTCTGGAGTTCAAAACAAAGATGGGTTCTAGAACTGTAGAATTCAGCATCATTAGCACAGTGAAGGCTTTCAACATGGCTAAAACCATCCAGCAAAAAATATATAAACGGAGAGCTAAAGAGAAACAAGGACAAAACCCCGAGAAGCACCATGGTTTAGGAAACTTGAAAAGGAAAAAAAAAAAAAAGCTGTTAAGGAAGACTGAGAAATAGCAGTTACTGAAGCAGAATCAACAGAAATGATATCACAAAGAACAAAGGAGGGGCTGGGCGCGGTGGCTCACGTCTGTAATCCTAGCACTCTGGGAGGCCAAGGCGGGAGGATCACTCGAGGTCAGGAGTTCAAGACCAGCCTGAGCAAGAGTGAGACCCTGTCTCTACTAAAAATAGAAGAAATTATCCGGACAACTAAAAATATATAGAAAAAATTAGCTGGGCATGGTGGCACATGCCTGTAGTCCCAGCTACTCAGGAGGCTGAGGCAGAAAGATTGCTTGACCCCAGGAATTTGAGGTTGCTGTGAGCTAAGCTGACGCCACGGCACTCTAGCCCAGGCAACAGAGCAAGACTCTGTCTTCAAAAAAAAGAACAAAGGAGGAATGAGCTTCAGTAAGTGATCAGAGTTAAATGCTACCCAAAAAAACAACTAAAAGTATCCCCTAGATTTGATAGAGAAGAACACTGGTAACATCCAAGAGCAGATGCAATGGAGATGAAAACAGAACCTGACTGCAAAGGGTTGAAAAGTAGAAAGTGAAAAATAAATGTCGACTACTCTCATAATGCTTAGCTATAAAGCAGAAGAAGGGCATTAGACGATAGGGAATAGAGGATTTATTTACTCTGGAATGGAAGCAGGTTACTCCAACCTCTGAGACAAGAGGTAAAAAAGTGTGTATGAGCCACTCTTTATCCACAGTGTCTTTATAGTTCCACCCAGATGCTTATATATCTCTTTTCTATCATGCTTCAGCTATTTCTTGTCATTCCCAAGATCGCATTTCTCCTTCTCCTTCACTGTTTCTTATATGTGAAAATACCTGTTAATGACTATGGTCTTAGGAGTCTATAGTGAAGAGTTACCTAGCAAATGCAAGGTATCTGTTTTTTAGATGTAACATGTTTTAGTTTGATAGCTATTATGTCATAGCATTTCACATTAAAAATGGTGATGCATGCACCAGAAAAGCAGACATCAAGACTGAAAGAATGTCAACAATGAGAGGGACATGGGATAAAAGAAGACAGAAAGAAGGAACAAAGAGGTTTATAAGAAAACAGAAAGGAGAAGAAAGGGGGCAAAGGGGGATAAAGAAAGAAGAAATAGAAATGGAAGAGAAAATAACTGTCTGAATGTTGGGAAGGAAAGGTCAAGTGTACATACATGGATGTTAAGTTGAGCTACAGCTAACGCTAGACCAAGGTAGAGAATCCTTGCCACTGTTCAATTTTTTCCCAGGTGACAGCACAGTTTCCAGTTCTGCCATTGTCAAACAACCATGACCACCTTCCACAAGCAAGAAATTCAATACTCTGATTTTTTCATTACTCAAATGAAAGCTGGATTTAATTTATTTCCTTGCTGGTTTGAATTGATTGGCATTCACACTCCTTACCCTTTTTAATAAACTGATGGTTATCTCAACTGGCACAATCTTTCCTTCTTTAATGTACTTTTCAATGAGTTCACCATACTGTGATTCTGGGTTCTTCCTTTCATCACGAAGAAGTTCTCCTGCAGAAAGGTGTGTGTAGCCATATTTCTGAAAGAAACAACACATAGGAAAAAAATTAGAATTCATTCAACCCAGTAGTAGGACTGTTTATTTTTCCCTTTGTGTTAATTTCTATATGCTAATTTTTCTACAATAAACAGGTTTTGCTTGTATATTAAATAAAGTTTAAGAGATTTCAAATAACCCAGTTTGCATAATAAATATCCTACTCTTCATAGCTATGTGTTCACTTATCATATCATTCCCAAATTTATCTATTTGAGGCATTAACATCTTATTTATTCCTTCACAAATATGACTGAAGTTTAAATATTAATATTTAACAATATTAATATTGTTCAAAGAAATGTCTAACAAAAATCTTTATAATTCAAGGCAAAAAAACAAAAAATCTTACCACTATTGGCTGTATTCACCTTCTATAAAATCTCTTTCTTAAACTCAACATGTCTAAATTGCACTCATCACTATTTACACAAACCCCATTTTTCTGTTTTCTTCCCTTTCTCAATAAACAATACAAGTCCTACCTCCTCCACAAAATCAGCTTTCCTAACCACTCTGGAGAGTGGTCACATAATCAAATAGTATCTTGGAGTATCACTGTCTCTTCACGAAGACCAGTATCTTCCTTACCACATACAAAAGTCCATTTCCTACCTTTCTATAATACTTGCGATACTTGCTTTATAAGTTTGTGGTTATGATTAAATGAGATAATGTATTAATATCGTACATAAACTGATTACCATAAAGCCTTATACATAATAGGAATAAAAGCCATCAATTACCTCCTTTCCAT